TCTTCAGCAAATCAACCCCCCCCCCCAAAAAAAATCTTCCAAACAAGACCTTCGAATGAAAGAAAAGCGATTTGTAAGTGTTTTTAGATGAGTGTTTGCATGTTTTGGTCCTTAGATGTGCAGGCCCAGGGTGCAGTGCTCAACACCTGGGCGGATGTGTTGATGCTCCTGGCTACTTTGCTGTGCAGGAACCAAGCTGCGGTCGGCCCATCTGTCGGTGTGGCACTGGGGAAACTCTGGCAGCACTTTTCAGGTGACACACACACACCCAAACCAAAGTGTGTTACAAAGGGTGGAGACAGGCAAATGGAAAGGGAAGGCAGAAAGAAACAGAAGAGTACAAAGAGAAAATTGTGGCAAACCTAATGAAAGAGCAAAGGGATGGAGGGGAAAGAAAGATTGAGGAGTCTAGATGGAAGAGGATGTGCTAGATAGATGTTGAGAAGGAAGGAGACAGCTGAGGAGATGGAGACAGATGCAGTGGGAGGCCAGCTCATTATGCCTGTATGTGTGGATGGGTGTCCCTGCTGCATATGACAGACTGGGACAGAGACAGGGAGAACAATCAGCCTGCTTTAGATCTGATGGATGTGGTAGAAAATCCTGAAACAGGTGGGTGGGCAGTAAACTCGCTGACTTACCTGCAGGTATCCAGGCTTTGGAAGCTGTTTTTAAAAGCCTGTGAGTTTGGAGAGACTTTTCCGTCAGATGTTCCCTTGTGGTGAAGATTGTTTGTTGTGAAGTTTTGCATCTTTTGCATCTTCTCGTCTCAGAGTTGGAGTTCGAGAAAAGCTGTGAAAAGTAAATATTAGCATTCTTTATGTTTAGTCTTTGCTCTCTCTCGCGACAGACACTCTCCGAGTCTGTTTGAACCAGTCGGGCACCGAGTCTTCTCTCTACACGTCGACCCTGCACTTTCTGTGTGTGCTGTTCACAGAGGAGGCTAAGAGTAGATCAGAAGGCCACACGGAGGATCAGGCCAGCAAGGCCCCCAGCTCCTCGCTAACTGCAGTCCTTTCTTCTGAGCCTGGAGAGGTCATGTGTGAACTATTATTAGAGGTAACAGATTCAGTTTCATGGACTCATATCACACTGCACTGTCTCAAAATGTTATTCTCAGATCTGATTGGTTGGCCACTTTACATGTCCCTCAGTTGGCTACTTCCTTCTATGTATGGGTCAGTGACAAAAAGTATGTCTAAAAGTCTGATTTTGTAATGTTTTTTGGGGAAAAATATTGAATTGGTCTAAAGATACAGTGGATTCAGAAAGTATTCAGACATTTTCATTTCAATTATGTTCCAGCCTTATGCTAAAATTATGCTGATTTCTTCACATCAGTCTACACTCCATACCCCACAATGACAAAGCAAAAAACAAATTAAATTACAAACATTTTTATTTTTTTAAATATATAATGTTTTTTTTTTCTTGAGGTTATCGTGTTGGAAAAACGTAACTAATTTGAGTGTGGCATGAGGACATCTCCATCATATAATTTTTTTTTTTTTTTTTCCTTGTTGCATAATGACAAAAATGGCTTCCTACATACTGGTTATACCATACTGACTTTGATTATGGTATAAATCTGATTAATTTATTAGTAGTATTTTAAAATGAAACTGCTTTATTATGCTTACATATGCATTCTTACATTTATTTATATTTGAAGAAATAATCATTATTAAATCATTACAAAATTATTCAGAACAAGATGCAAATATTTTGTATTTTCTTGTTCAATTTACAGCAATATGAGAAGATTCCGTTCCAGGACCCTCTGAAAAAGATGACGGCCAAAGCGCTCATGTCTTTATTAGCCTGTAGCTCCAGCGCTCAGAGTTATGCATGTAAAAGGTAAAGATCACTTCACTGATCTTCAAAAAAAACACAATGTGGAGATAACTTGTGACGTACAATGTAGACATTTGCTAGCGCTCACAACGCATGGCTCCCGTCACTGCTATGAGCACATTGGCATATGATCACCTACTGCACATGAATGCATATTGAATATTCAGCATCCCAGTAGCATAAACATCCTGTTTCTGTTCTGAGAGTGAACAAAATATCTTGTATAAACAAATTATTTTTGGAGCAAAAATCTTGACTAACATTTGAGTAAACTTCAAGAAAAATCCTAGAAGTATAGAATATGTCCCTCTTAAAAGGTAGTAGTTAAAAATTTGTTATTCCCTCAACTAGGAGGAAATCTCACAGAAAGATTAATTTTAGACCCAGGTGATGTTATATTGTGTCTAATTCCTGGTATCACTGTCTGATGGATGAGTACATAGACAGATACATGTCTCTTCTCCCTCTTCAGCTGGTGTGATTGACAGCTGTGTAGAACGCATGAAGCACATTTACGCAGAGCTTCACCTGGAGTCTGTGAAAACGGGCAAGAGCACTCACAGGAGGAAGGTAACAGAGGGTTCCAGCAACATGATAGACAGCTTCAACATCAGAAACACTGAAAACCTGCTGAGAGGGAGGTGGGAGGTAGAGGCAGGTGAAGGGAGAGAGACAGTGCTGTCACAGATGTGACAATAAATGACAAAATTGAACGATCCTCGGGATCAGTTGATTTAACCACTTCATTTCCTTATGTTCGTACTGCTTTATGATAACTTTAATTAATAATACAACAATCATTATTACTTATATAATGCAGCTTATTAGTGAAATTTGTAAATACATGAATCAAGTTTTCATGACATTTATAGCAATGATAGATAAGTATGTCCAAGATGGTCTTTTTAAAAATCTAAAACTTTTTTTTTTATTTGTTTGTTTTTGTTTACATATATTGTTTGTTTGTGTTTATATATATATATATATATATATACTGTATAAACTGTGTGTATATTAGGGGTGTAACGGTACACGTATTCGTATTGAAAATTTTCAGTACGGGTCTTTCGGTTCGGTACGCATGTGTAGGCCTACCGAACAAATACAGCATTGTTTTAACCACTGCACGAGTGGAACTTCATTGGAAACTTCCAGTTATATTGTTACTTTTGATAAGAAACAAAGTCTTATCTTTCAAATGATGTTTCGGGAAATTCAAACAATCAATGCCGTTTTGACGCTCTTTGATGTGGTGTGACAGATCGCTGTATAAACGCCCTCATCCCTTCCTCTTTACTACTAGTTTTAACGTGAAATAAACATGAATGAACATCTCACGCCTCATGTAATCGCTCAATCGGTGTTTCAACCGCAGAAAGACGGCAATAAAACAGCTTGTAAACAAAATGTCACATAGCATTTCCTTTACCTCAGGCAAGTCATCGGTGTCCACAGCTCGTTATTTCGCTAGAGAAATGAAGTCTAGAGAGGGACATTTCGCGAAATATTAGACTTTATAATCATTATATTTTGCTTACATGTTAGTGATGTCTTAATTATTTAATGTATGTTTAAATAAATCTGTTATGAAAAAGTTATGAGAGTCACTGTGTAAATGATCATATTTCAACAACAAATAAAATTTGTTATAATTTAGTAGTTAATTTAAAAACTGCATTATGTGCAATTGTACAATTTATGTTTTGCATACATGTTTTTTTTTTTTTAAAGCTGAGTGCTGATTATTATATTTAAAAATAAATAGTAATTTAATTAAAGGGGTCATGAACTGCATTTTTTTGTTATTTTATAATGTTCTCTGAGGTTCACTTACAATGTTAGTGTGATTTTTCATAAAAAAATCTATCATTTAGAAGTAATAGGCTATTTTCTATCCTGTTATTGAGCCTCTCTTCAGAACAGTCTGTTTTTATAGGTGGGGCGCATTCAAGATGAGCAATTAAACACCCACTGCTATGATTGGCTAACAGTTTCGCTTATTAAAATAAAAGATGGACGCTGCTGTGACATACTCTGAAAACAACATGGGTCATTTGGTTTAAAAACGTATAAATACTCAGTATATATCAAATGGTCTGGAACAGACAATGCAATAGTGGTAAAAACACGTTTACTCACACTTCTGTGTTGCGACATTACTGTTGGATCCACTCAGCGCTGCATTATCGTTTACTTTCAGTCTCTCTGAAAAGCATGCATCATACTGTCTTGTTTAAAAATGAATCCGTAGCAAAGTAAAGCAAACAAACAAACAGTGTTTCAGTGATGCGATCTGGAGCTCTTTGCTAATTTTACTCCGTGCTTACACCGGACGCGAGATTCTGTCTACATTGGATGCGGCACAAATTGACACAACAAATCCCCGACAGTAAACTGATGTCCCGCTCTATTTCTGACATGCTCAAAACATTTACACCGCTTCTGACCTGAAAAAGAAACTGATTCGCGACATGACGCAACAGCACTCGCGTCTGATCTAAATATGTTAGGATCCCAAAGAAGGCAATTCAAAGGCTATTTTTCACAACTTACACTACACAGTGTCTTGTAATCTTGTAATGTCATCTGTACGGTTCTGTTGATGGAGTGATCCTGTGTTCGCGTCTCTAGTATTTCCTCTTCTACTACAAAGTGTGTATCAGTGGGCGGGGCTAAAGAAGCAGTACTGTAGAAGGAGGCGTTGATCTTCTCCTGCGGAGGCGGTGCTTAGCCACACTATTACATCATAAAGTGGCACAATCCACAAGGAGTCATTTTCTGAGCTTGGTTTCAATAAAAACTGTTTTTAAGCTAACGAGAAAGTTTTGAGTTTTGAAGCTTACAGGATGTTTTTATAGTACATTGACCTGTTATATGTCAAAAGATAAAGGGAAATTTGATTTCTCAGTTCATGACCCCTTTAAGTTTGGGCTCTGTTGTTAATTGTAACCTTATAGTAATTTATAAGCGCTCCCTATAGTTTAGAACATAAGCTGAGGTAGATTTGTATCCCTAAGAAAATTAATTATAATTTAAATTTATTTAAAGAAAGAGCAATCTGTTCAGTAAACCACTATGTAATAATAAAAAATAAAAAAAATTGTATAGTTTTCCCCCCGCTGTGCCGAGCCATGATGTCAAAACCGAGGTACGCACCGAACCGCCATGTTTGTGTACCGTTACACCCCTAATGTGTGTGTGTGTGTATGTATGTATATGTATATATATATATATAGAGATAGATAGATAGATAGATAGATAGATAGATAGACCCAACCTCCCCTCCCCATGAAGTAATATAATTTGAGGGTAACATGAGTACATGAGGATCTTCTCTGTCATATGATTTCCTGTCTTATGTTTTTTCTTGGCACATGACGACAGAATGACTTCCTAATTATTAAGCTGGTTAAATAATTATTACTCTGATTTGATTCAAATAATTAGTCATATTTAAAAAATAAGCTGCTTCACTATGCTTTTTTACACACACATATATATATATTTATTGTTTTTAAAAACGTAATTACAATCAAGTTTTTTTTTTTAACGGATCAGTATATAAATACTATCATACACTCTTACCTTTATTTATTATTTAAAATATGTAAATTGATCACAGTGATTGAAGAATCCTGGATCAAAATCCTTTATTGGTCCTGAAATGACAAGACTGTTAACTAATTATGCGGTCTGAATTCAGGGGTAGGCCTATGATTGTTGAAATGAATGTATTTCTAGGAATGACAAAGGATGATGATCCAGGAACATTCCCTATGTTAGTAAACCATGTTGTGCTATGTGTATTTGTTAGGCAACATGTCATTTTTGTTAAGATCTGTTAATAAAACGTATTATGAAGTGTTACAATTATAATTAATACAAACAGGGAAATGTGGCACAAATTCATGCATATATAAATAAGACATTATCAAAATTACCACTATAAGCATGATATCTTGTTCTAACTGTCTTTGTTCAATGTCATCAGGTGGAGAACAGCATGAGGGAACTTAAGATGATTCTAGAGATACTGCGAAATTGCCTGTATCAACATAATGAATGCAAAGTACGTCATTTCAAATAATCTTCCCTGTGCTGATTATTTGAGTAGTTACATTCATTGTACAGTATCTGCAAACGCTCTCACAGGGGGTCTTGTGGGTGTGAAACACTGCGGGTTTGAAATCTCGTTGGCGTCGTGCAGATTTTCTTGTAAGAACTGAGGTGCAGTCTTTACAAGAAAATCTACACGACACCCAGCAAGATGGTGTGCATATAATCAGTCATGTGATCATTTCTGTGAAGTACAATGGGAGTTAATCAACCTGAGATTGTTGAATGTATATTTGACCAATTAAACAGCCTTTTAATTAATTTTCAAAAAGGCATTATTATTTTTCAACTTTAGGTTTTGAAGAAACTGTTCTCTCAAGAATGAACTTTTTTTGTACTTATTTTTATTATCCAACTCTTTCTTGCCAAACGTACATGGTTTATGAGGTACATAATATTTTGTTTTGTATAGAAATATATATTTTTTGACTACACAAGAAACAAAAACAAGAACAAAAAATAATAAAAAATAAATGGATATAAAAACCTAAACAACAATGAGAACATCAAAAACAATATATTTATTTTCTTTTTTGTATAGCCCTTTTTAGAGTTTGTTAGGTATGCCGATAAGCTGATTAATATTTTCATGTTATGGCTAATATTAAAATTCTATAGTTTTAAATGCTAGAAGTGAATTATATATGTGACCCTGGACCACAAAACCAGTCTTAAGTCGCTGGGGTAAATTTGTAGCAATAGCAAAAAAAACATTGTATGGGTCAAAATTATTGATTTTTCTTTTATGCCAAAAATCATTAGGATATTAAGTAAAGATCATGTTCCATGAAGATATTTTGTAAATTTCCTACTGTAAATGTATTTAAATTAATTTTTGATTAGTAATATGCATTGCTAAGAACTTCATTTGGACAACTTTAAAGGCGATTTTCTCAATATTTAGATTTTTTTGCACCCTCAGATTCCAGATTTTCAAATAGTTGTATCTCGCCCAAATATTGTCCTATCCTAACAAACTTATTTATTCAGCTTTCAGAGCTTTTATTTCAGCTTTTTTTTTTTTTCTTAATTTTTGATTAGTATTATGCATTGCTAAGAACTTAATTTGGACTATTTTAAAGGCGATTTTCTCAATATTTAGATTTTTTTGCACCCTCAGATTCCAGATTTTCAAATAGTTGTCTGCCTGCCAAATATTGTCCTATCCTAACAAACCATACATCAATGGAAAGCTTATTTATTCAGCTTTCAGATGATGTATAAATCTCAATTTCGACAAATTGATCCTTATGACTGGTTTTGTGGTCCAGGGTCACATATATTCATACATTTTTCCAAACCATTGGAAAACCAGAGTATATGTCCTCATCTTAATTTTCAAACAGTTTTTAATTTTTAAAAGTATGTTTTATTTTTTAAATTGTAATTTTTATTTTAAAAAAGTTATTTTTAATAATGATTATTTTTTGACATGCAAGTAAATAGAAAAAATATCTAATCTATATTAAGTTTGTTTATTTATTTATGGGACAGTGCACATCAATTGACATCAGATTTAGCCACACAGGCAGATTGCGGTCCCTGATCAATTATTGAGCTAGTATAATAATATGAACATTATATTCAGATGTTGGCAAAGTTAATCGTAAAAATAGGAAAATTAGTATGAACATTTAAATATCCAGTATTGACTGATAGTGCCAAATTTTGTCTCAACAGGCTGTGGCTACAGAGCTGCGTCTGGCAGCGGTGCTGATGGCCCTGTGGCCCTGGTTCCTGCTCGACGATCTCAGCATGACAGCAGCCCTGGAACTGCTCTGTGTCTACACGGCTAACTGCACAGTGGGTCAGTCTTCTGAGAGGTGGAGGAACGAGAGCGAGAAAAGGGGAATGACAAAGGAAAAGAGGATTAGAAAGCGAAAGACGGGGTGCTGAGATAATAAATGAGCTTTGTGCTCACTGTAACCCTCTCATGAGTCATGCGTCAGTACAGTAAGTGCCATTGTGTGCTAAATGCAAGGCTGACATGAGCCCGACAGCTACAGAAGGGATTGTGTCATAGTCGAAGCGTGCTGCCAGATTACTGGAAACTAGGATGGAGCATTTGTGAAGGGGAGGTACTTCAGGGGTAAATGATTACTTTGACTGGATTGAGCAATTTTGACTTTTTGATGTATTTAGCAGCTACCATATATATATATATACACAGTATATATTGATCAGTCACAACTTTAAAACCACCTGCCTAATGTCATGTAGGTTCCCCTTGCACTGATTGAAATAACTTTGTAAACGAGAAAAAATGTGATTTTGCCAATCGTGAAATTATTGGATTATAGGCCATGTACACACTGCAGCTAAATTCGGTTGTCAGTTCACCTTTTACTCCTTAATCGCGTTCTGTACACACATAATTCACTAAAATACGGGAGTGACAACCGCATTAACTCCCGAAAAATACAGGTAGTGACAACCGCATTTACAGAAATTCTATGCAGTGTGAAATGTACGGAACCGAACTGAACAACTAGTTGTTAATGATGATGTCACGAGAAGCATGCCAATGTGCATGTGTGTATTGTCAGGCATCAAGTGTTTACCGTAGATCTGACAGGATGGCGGAGAGAGGTGTATTGTGGACCGAGCAGTTGCGGTCAAGAGAGAGTATAGGCTGTTCAATAACAACAGTTTAAAGAACAAAACTAGATTATGACACCTCTCCCGCCGACGGCGATTTAATGACGTTTTGCGGATTTTCGCATGTCTTTGCATTCTAATGTTTGTTTTGTCAACAGCAGCTAACACAAAACTAGCTAATCTGCGGGCCTCCATTCTCTTTGAGACGCCACAACGTTGCTGTGGTTACCACGCTGCCATTCATAGCAGTTTCGGGAGTGAGTCGTGTTCCGTACACACATGGAACGGTAATTTACGGGACTCACTCCCGCATTTAAATGCGGTTGTCACTCCTGAAACATGCAGTGTGTACGTGGCCATAGTCTTTTTCTAATTGTGTGAGTTACAGGTTGCTGGAGGGGAGGAATTATTGTCCTGCCTTTGTGCCAGTGCAATTTTTAAGAAATACTGTGCATGGATAAATCATTTATAGTAAACACAGCAATATTTAAGAAAAAAAATAGTCAATGTTGATTTCATGGTGACTTTAAGTGAAACTGATAGAAATGATCAAATCATTTTTAATTCTATTTTAAAATCTAAAACCTCCCTTACCTATAAATATTATAGCAAAAAGAAAAAATACAGAAAAAAACAAATCTGAATGTTATCTCTAACTGCTTTGTGTGTGTGTGTGTGTGTGTGTGTGTGTGTGTGTGTGTGTGTGTGCGTGTGCGCATTTTTGTGACATATGAGAACACAAATTTGTATAATGACATGGGTATGACATAGGAGAAGGTGACTTATGAGGACATTACCCAATGTCCCCATTTTTCATTTTTTTTGAGAAAGTAAAAATGCACAAAGTTTCCTGTAAGGGGTAGGTTTGGTGTAGGGCAATAGCACATACAGTTTGTACAGTATAAAAACCATTACGCCTATGGAATGTCCCCACAATTCACAAAAACAAACGTATGTGTGTGTGTGTGTGAGCGAGTTTGTTAGACATGAAAGCATTTGCAACGGTTTCTGTGTGTGTGAGAGAGAGAGACTGACAGTTGTACATGAAAATGTCTGCGAGTGTGTTTACTTGAACGCAGTGTTTGCTCTGTGTCACATATCTGAGCTCATGGAAAGCTGTACTTTGAGACAGGATGTGGCTCTTCACACACCTGTGAAGAGCCAGCAGTGCATGGGCGTCTGTACGTATACATCCGTGTGTGTGTGTGTGTGTGGGTGCGCATACATGTTATTGTGTGTGTGTTTTTGGGCTGTCACTATGGCTTAACAGCACTAGGCTACAATAAGCATGCCGTCATGTGTGGTGTTTCTCAAGGTCTATGTTAACAGCAGGTGATGTTGAAAGTTCATGAGGCTGGTTCTTCAATTATGGAATCAGCCCTCCAGCACATTTTCTTCAACAACGTATTCTGTCCTGTGTCACTTTTATTATATAATTCGTTAACCTGCAACACACAACACTCATTCTTTCATCTGGCTGATTAATATTGGATTTCTTTGGCAAGCAAAACCCCGCTGAGGTCTCTCAATAATATGGGATCATGGTAAATGATTCACCTGCAATCTTGCTGTTTTTCAAAATATGTCTGTCCACTTACCCAGAAGTGAGACATTTAGTGGTTTGACACAACTAAATGCAGCATTGTTAGACCAGGAGGAAATGTTTATATATGTATATATATATATATATATATATTATTGTCGTATATATATAGTTAAAACAGTGGAATGATTCTGTTTCCATTGAGTTTCCACGCTCATTGTTACACAACTGTGCGGTGATATTTTGAGACAAGATGCATAGATAACCAAAAAGGAAAAGGCTTGTGTGGTTTTATATCGCCGGCAGTTCTTCCTGTAGCACTACTTTGCAGCACCACAGGGGAAAAAAAGATGATAACCATTCAGAAGTTAGAAATCTGATTTTTTTTTTTTGTTTTGAAAGAAGTCTCGCATGTTCACCAAGGCTGCATTTATTTGGACAAAAAAAACCTGTAAAAACTTTCTATTACTATTTTTTTTTTAAACTGTTTTTCATTTTGATACATTTTAAAATGTAATTTATTCATGGAAAGTTGAATTTTTAGCAGCTGTTATTCCCGTCTTCAGTGTCACATGATCCTTCAGAAATCATTTTAATATGCTGAGTTGCTGCTTGAGAAACTTTTTTTTTATTATTATTATCAGTTTTCAGTTGTGCTGATTAATATTTTTGTGGCAACTGGGATCATTTTTTTTTCAGGATTCTTTAATGAATAGAATTTTCTAAAGAACAGCATTTATTTGTTCATTTATTTCTTAAATTGTTTAAATTTTGATCAGTTTGAATGTCTTCTTTCTCAATAGAAGTATTAATTTAATAATTAATCATTAAAAAAAATTACTGTCCCCAAACTTTTGGACAGTGGTATGTATTCATATTCTGTGTATGTGTGTATACATATGTATGTGTGTGTGTGTGTGTGTATATATGTGACCCTGGACCACAAAACCAGTCTTAAGCAGCACAGGGATATTTGTAGCAATAGCCAAAAATACATTGTATGGGTCAAAATTATCGTTTTTTCTTTTATGACAAAAATCATTAGGATATTAAGTAAAGATCATGTTCCATGAAGGTATTTTGAAAATTTCCTACCGTAAATATATCAAAACGTTTTATTTTCTCAATATTTTGATTTTTTTTTTGCACCCTCAGATTCCAGATTTTCAAATAGTTGCATCTCGGCCAAATATTGTCCTATCCTAACAAACCATACATCAATGGAAAGCTTATTTATGTATAAATCTAAATTTCGAAAAATTGTCACTTAAGACTGGTTTTGTGGTCCAGGGTCACATTTATATATATATACTGGTATATTAATAATGGCTGGTAATGTTTTTGTCCTCATTTCAGGGTTTGGGAAGGTGCCCTTTACAAGAGCGACACTGATCAGTTTTGTTTCCTTAACACTGTGATATTATCTTTCTGAGATAGTTGCTTAGTTTCTTCTAATTCTTTGTACACGTTTTAGGTTTTTTCCATAATCAAGTTATCTCTCTCTCAGTCTCTTTGTTTTTTTGTTCTCTTCCAGCATGCAGTGCTTTATGTAGCAGCAGCAGCAGTGGTAGCTCAGGCTCAGTTCAGGCTGTTCTTCCTAAGACTGCGGTCACAAATTCACTGATGCATGGGGTGATGAAACTGGCCTCCCAGGTTGCCCCTGACAACAGCAGCATCCACAGCCTGGCTTTCTCACTGCTGGCCAACCTGGCCATCTCAAGGGACTGCAAAGGGGTACTGCTGAAGGTAACTCACTAATTCAGGGGAGGAAGAAATATAACCCTTTGAGACACTTCAGGCTATACAGTAAATATAGCTAAATAATTCTGCTCTCCAGCAAGAAATCCTTTTATGACTCCTTTAGTTGCATATCCAATAGATATCATAGAGAAGTTTTAACAAAACCTTCTTTCTTGCTGTTTTCCCTAGAGTAACTTCCTGCAGCACTTCCTGTCTCTCCCCATGCCTAAGGCAGGTGGTCGAAGCGGCATTCCAGCGGGGGAGCCTCTGTCCCTCTGGCTCAAGCTGTTGCTGAACGTGTCGTTCGGGGAGGACGGACAGCAGATGATCCTCAGGCTCAGAGGGGCTTTGGAGCTGCTGGTGGGACTGGCCCAGTCCAAACACTCCAGCTCTAAACTCACCATCCTTCTCATTCTCCACAACATCTGCTTCTGTTCCGCTAACAAGCCCAAAGTCTTAGACAACGGTATGAGTGCTGGATTTACAGGGCTTCACGTGTTAATGGTTGATCAACATGCTTCTTTTTGAGTGGATGATGCCAATGCCAATATCTAATAAGGCTCAGCAGGCATGGTTAACAAAATAGCCAAATGTTGTTTGATAATTATTTGGCATGGCTGATATATTGACCTATTCCCGCCAAAAATAATAATAATAATAATTTTTATATTTATATTTTTTATTTAATGTTTTGTTTTTTTGTTGGGTCTGTGATGTAGACTCTAGTCTGTTAAGATCAATTTGACACTGCCAGTGTAAAAATGAACCACTACACACATGTAAGTCTTGCTACACACAAACACTGAAATCCGGATGTGTCATAACCGCCGCAATGAAGTGATAATGCTTTTACACATCAAACCAACATTTCCACTCAATTCCTTTTTATAGAAAGTGAAGGAAATAAGATGTTTGTCTTAACCTGATGTGAATGTGCACATGAAACCGCAAATACACACTACCAATAAATGTCATTTTTATTACTTATAATTGCTATATTAATGATTTTATATATAAAATTATACATAATGAAAATGAAGATATATGTATATGTCTATGTATGTCTATATTTATATACAGTATATACATAATGTATGTATGTGTACGTGTTTTACAAAGTATTACATATAAATGCATAAACATGTTTTAAATAAATAAATGTTATATAAATATTATATATTTCAGATAAAGCTGTTGAGCTGCTCGTCTCTTGTTTGGGCAGTAGCTCATCAGAATTGCGTACCATAGGAGCTTCTGCGCTTTGGGCTCTGTTGCACAACAATCAGAAGGTAACGTCATTTATTCAATGGCATCTTGTTTTTGCAAAGAGTTAATGAACTATTAGGAGAAATATTAAATAGTACTACTAGAATCAAGCAATAGTTCTTTGGCAGCGACACAAGACGCTATTCATGATCATTTTATAAACACAAATTACATGCGAGTCTGTCATCTCCCACGTGTGATCCAGCTCACCCATTCCCATTCTGCATATCTCCTCTTACAAAGCCAAAGGCCACTTTGAAGTGTCCTTCCATCAGACTGAAAGTTGAAGAGGCATACATGTCTGCCAGGAAAGGTGGGAATATATTCAGTTTGATCATTGTAGAGCCTCTCATTTTTACTCTCTGATGGTACTACAGCAGTAGATGCATCAGGAATGGATCTTTCCTGAGAATTCGAGGTAATTGTCTGTCTGTTTGTTCATATAGCTGAAGAGCAGACAAGTGACAAACCCCTGAACGTCTATCTTCTGAAGTGCCTGAGAAATCTCACACACATCTTCAGCTCCTAAGTGCCCCTCTGATGATGGAGATCATGAAAGTCACCGAATATTGTGAACGTTTATTTATGTTTTGGTCAAATATGGAATATTTTAGTTTAATAGTTTTTGTATATTTTTGTTTTGTAGCAAATCAATAAATGAACTGGTTTTACAGTAGATGTCTCTCCATTCTCCAACTGTCAAAAATGATCACATGCACTGTAAAACACAGTGTATTTTGGGGTGTACCATCACTTTATGGATGAATTACATAAGGTCATGATTTTTCCTTTCCTTTGTATTTTTTATTTTATCATAGGGGAATTCAGAGATTGGTTTTAAATCTGCTCTTTCAGTTTCAGGTGAAAAAAAAAATGTGTGTGGGCTAGAATTCAGCCCTTTCTAGTTAGGTGAACTTACCTCCTCTCTAATGGTGTTTATCTGCTGGTTGAGGATGTGACTGAAGAGTCTTGCAGCTGAACACTGAAAGTGCTGTGGTCGCCTCAGTCCTCGTCAATGCTGTATTCATTTTGTCTCCGAGAAGCAAGATGGTGGCAGTACAAAAGGATTACTGGTACTTCTTGGTACTCATGATGCAGCTCTGTTTTCTCAAAGGTAATGTTTGTAGCAAAGGTAGACACTTTTGCTTATAAAAAACATTTGAACTGTAGCACATTGTTCTTCATTGGTAATTTATGTATCAAAGCATGAATGGCTGTTCTCTAGCATGATAAACAGTGTTCCTGTTTACAAATGAACTGAATTGACTTTCAATGCTGATAGAGTGAATATATAAATGTTTATGATGTCTATAGATGTTTAAAGAAGAAAAAGTAAAAATAACTGATATAGATTTGTTATAATCCTTTTAGGAAAGGAAAGGAGAATATGTGGTTACATTGAAAGTAACTGGTTTGTACTTGTGGCATTTTTGTTCATTTTTGTTAGTTTAGTTGTATAAGGGTACAAAATACAGTTTACTAACCATTAATGTTTAGCTTTATAAGGTTATTCTGCTGCAATTTCAATAAACAAGGTGCATGGTGACAGAAGCCACACCAGCAATTGTATTTTGTAGGGCTGGGTTTTGACACAAATTTCACAATTCGATTCGATTATCCTTCACAAGCTTGCGATTCGATTCGATTAAATATCGATTATTTTGGCTGTATATCAGGTACAGGGCATGACAAATTTTCTCAAGGGAAAAAAAATCTCAACTAATGCTGTAACATATACCTGAGAGCCAATAAATATGGAAGGCTAAAATTAGCTGATTTATATATAAACACTTAAAATATACTCAAAGTTTTTGTAACATTAAAATTATAATACTAACTTTAACTTTACTACTCCCAATTCATTTTTGGAAATATAAACATTAAAATGGTGGTTGTCACAAAAACTTGAATTTATTCAAACATAAATTAAATATTGAATAACAGTTAAAAAATTAGATAAGATAAAGAATGTGTTATATGGTGCATTTTTAGCAAAATGCTCCTCTCTAGAGTTCATTTTTCTATCTGACTAAAGAGTTCTCGTCTTTCCGCGGTTGAAACACTGATTGAGTGATTACATGAGACAGGATAAGTTGTACTCTTTCTTTTAACATAGGTTCGGATGTTCATTCATGTTTATTTCGTGCTGTAACCGCTATTAAAGCAGAGGAGACGATCAGTTCGCGCTGCCGCTTCTACCCGAGGCGCTACTACAGCGATCTGTCACTCCACATTAAACAGCGCCAAAACGGCATTTAATATTTTAATATTGTAATAAGACAGAATGGTATTGTAATGGACAGAATTTGAAATCTGAGACTGTTTCATATCAGAAGCAACAAATCACAAAGCTTATTTCTTATTGCGCTACAATGTTTCGTTAATTACCTGACAGGCTAGACTAATCGAGAAATCGATATTTTTTTACCCAGCCCTAGTATTTTGGCACATACGACTTTATTAGGTACAATAAATACTTCATGGAAATATATTTAATATTTTCAATTATGTTTGATATGGAATCGTAATTTTTAATGGATACAAATCAGAATATATATATATATTTCTATTTGATCTATTATAGCTTTGAACGTTCATCAAAGAATCCTAAAAAAAATAATAATAATTAAGCAACACAACTGTTGATACAGCCTGATAAGAAATATTTCTTGAACCGTTTGAAAAAAGCATATCTGACTGATTTAAGGATCATGTGACACTGATGACTGAAGTAATGGATGCTGAAAATTCAGATTTGCCATCACAGGAATACATTATACATTAAAACAGGATTTTTAAAATTTTAATAATATTTCACAATATTACTGTATAACTGTACTTTTGTTAAAATAAATGCAGCCTTGGTGAGCATAAGAGACTTGTTTCAAAAACATTAAAAAAAAAAAAATCTTACAGACCCCAAACTTTTGAACAGTAAAGTATTTCTAATTATTACATTTTAAAATCCAGTAATTGCAAATGCCCAGAAAAAAAAGAGGTATTGGTCAGAAAGTGTGTGTGTGAGCCCTGACGTTCTCTGCCAGTATCTCTTCACTTGAAATGATGTACCTTTAGATGATTTTGTATTCTTTTGTATCCATTTTTATCTCTGTCTGATTTCCTGCTCTTTCATAATGGTCTTCTAGGCTCTGTTCAGATGAAAGCCCCAGAATCAAAAGTCATACTGAAGGATGGAATGATATTGGACTGCCTGTGTCCGTGGACTGGCCAGCTCATTATGGTCTCGTGGACTAAAAAGTCTCTTTCAAAACCTGTAGCTGTTTATCATCCTCAGTATGGTACCAACTTTGAGCCATCATATGGCGGCAGAGTGGAGTTTCTGAAAACCACAGAGATGGACGGCAGTATTTCCATAATGAACATCACTGAGGGTGACACCGGCCAGTATCATTGCTCTCTGCAGACTTATCCTCACGGTTCATGGACCAAAGACACATTTGTCGAAAGAGCAGGTGAATGAAGAAAATATTTATATTTCGCCATGTTACAGACATGGTAATCCAACAGGTTTAACCCTACAGTGAAAATAGCTAACAAGGTTACAAATTTCCAATGTTAAAGATCTTGTATAACATGACTCCTACTTTTCTTTTTTCTAGCAATCACCACCACCTTCTCTATTCAACCGGACACTAAGCTGGTGGTCACAGAGAATGACAACCTGACCATTAGATGTGACCATGTCCATAACGGTGAGGTTTACCAAGTAAGCATTGAGAAACTGGATACCGAGGTGGGCAGTAGTAATATTATAGCAACGTGTCAGATGCTAGAAGAGGGTGTAGAGCTGAGCGAGTTCAACAGTAGAGGACGACTGAACTGCAGTGATGCTATGGAGGTCAGTCTACACCTCACCAACATCATCAAAGAAGACGGAGGACTCTACCGCTGCAACTTCAGCACAGACACCGGTGTCCAGTCCACCACAATCCTGCTGACCACTCTGCCTGCTCAAGGTAGGACAAGGGATGAACTATCTGTTTATTTAAAGCAGAGATAACCAGACTGTTTTCTACAAAGGACCAAAAATCAATTGTGGGCTGAAACTTAGATTCAATTGACTTTAAAACCAATTAATTTATATTCACTACATTTCAATGCAAAAAATGAAACACAAAAAAAATGTTAAAACAAAGAAATAAATTAGAAATGATGATAGCTTCCACGCATGGCATAATTTTTGTTGCTTAGGCTAACATACAATATTTATATATAAAGCATAAAAAAACAAGAAATTAAATGATTTTGAGAAAACGAAAATCTAAAATATTACGTCCTACGTCATTTTGCATTCAAGGTTCTTCATTTTGATTCTGAATAGTTAATACCCCTAAGAATTAAAGCCATTTTTTTTTAAGAACTTAAGCCATGAGTTTATGAACATTTTGCCAACAACTATTACTTTTTTCATACTCCATTGTTTTATTTTGAGAATTACAACACATAAGTTACAACAATGTCCTGCCGCAGCTCAGTTCATAAATGTTTTATAATTTTTTCTTTGCGTTTGGATAATTTAATAACTGAAGTTTAATGCCTGTGTTTATCCCTCATTTCAGATTTTAGGGGTCTTCATCACATGCTGTATGTGTATATTGGAGGAGGGCTGGTTGGTGTCGCTCTTCTGATGATTTTATTACTGACGTGGCTGAACAGGTGTGTCATAACACTGTATTATTCATAAACGCCCAGCAGTTTTTACACTAGCAGTTCAAACCACCTTGAGTACTTGAGTAAGGATGTCTTGTTGTTATAGGGTGTGCTCTAGCAGGTGATAAACAGCAAAAAGCATCATTTCCCAATTTTTATGTGGAAAATGACATAACATAACATAACTAAAAACAAAACAAACAGATTCATTACTGGTATAATAGCACAGACTTGTGTTCTGCGCATGTTGTGACTGAATTTGGATTGAAGGTTGAAAGACAATGCATTTCCCATAGCTTTCATTAGGTATGAAGTTATAAGCATCTGGCTTGTCTGTTAAGAGGTCTCTCAGATAATTGGCTGTGAAATCCCATCCCCTCCTCGCCTTCCCCATATGTCCAACACACTTGCTGCCAGCCTCACTAAGTTTTACACGGAGTATGCAGTTTGTTATTTTGCAGTGAAGCGAGGTTATCTCTATACTGCAGTGTATGCTTTCCTGCTCCTTAATAAAATGATTAAGTGGCCTTTAATGGCTGTCATCTAGAGAAAACCGTCACTCAATTTCTAAACTGGTTTTCACAGGATGAAAAGGAAGAGAGAGGAGTACAGAATCAGACTGCATCCTGCTAAAAGACAGGTAAATATGTCAATCAGTTTTGCTCCGCACAGCTGAGCATGTATTGTTGCTGTGTGAATCTCATGAAGAAATGTCCACGTCCATATTTCACTACAAAATCAGGTATTCAAAAATTATTATTGTGACTTACTTTGGTCACAGTACTTCAGTACTCCTTCAAAATTGTAGTGTGATTAAAATTGTATAGTGTGACTATTTTTATATTTTAATGCACTAATCTGGTCGATACTGAAATGTTATTTGTTTATTAAAAATCAACAAATGAAATTCAGTACAACTAATACTACCATGAAATATAAATATTTAATTACTGGAATTATACAATTTAAAACAATTGTAAATTTTTATGTTAACATTAGTATATTAACAGTATCATCATATTCTCATAATATTTGTATTATTTTTATTTTATGTGTGTAATTTTAATTTCGTCGGTCATCCGACGTGACGTCGAGAGTGACCAACTGAAAGGGAAATATATATATATATGTATAACAGAAATATAATAATGTTTACATTTAATTTATTGTAATTTCAGTTTTAGTAATTTAAGCACTTGAACTTGAACTTATTTTAATTCAAATTTGTTGTGACTGCAACATTTACAAAGTTTTCTAACATTAATATTTGATCTATTTTCTGAAAAATCCTATTTTTTGTTAATAATAACAACACTGAGTATAACCTGGACATATTTCATGAAATTCACCCTGCTGTATATTATATATAAACATAGTTCCATATTTCATTGTTGGTATTAACCCATGACGCCTCATTAATAACAATGTCTACAAAATGCAAGGCAAAAATACCACTTGTTATATTCATATCCATTTCCAATGTCTCCCAAATTCATTTTTTCTTTCACAGTATAGTTTAGAGAAATTCTGCACTTTGCATTTTCTATTGTAATGTTTATAATTAGGGATGCACGATATTGGATTTTTGCCGATATCCGATATGGAGAAAACAACTTTTGTTATGTCGAGATCACGAGAAAATTAAGTCGTTATAACGAGAAAACGAGAAGGAAAAAAAATAATATTGCATGGCCGCTTAGAACTTACGTACAACAGCGCCCCCTACAGGTTAAAACTCCTTACCGAATGGGCATTAGGACCTGGGGGAGGCTGCCGCTGTTGCAACTGCACGTGCTATTATGGTTTACTCTATCATACAGGAACGCTCATTCTGTACTGCTTTCACAGATTAAATGCAGCGATCCAAAACAGTGAATCTAATCACTATTCGGGCAAAACTTTGCTTCAAGAATGAGCCACACTGCTGACATGATCTAATCACTAGCACACCCTGAGCACATGTGAGTTAACATATTCCTCTTATTGGCAAGACATATCGGCATAATTTTTCATATCGGGCCGATGTCGATATTTACATTTAAAGCCAATATCGGCCGATTCCGATATCAGTCCGATAATATCGTGCATCCCTATTTATAATATTGTATTGATACGATTTATAATATTGTATCGGCTAAAGTCATAATCGAAGTAAACAGAAATCGAATTAAGACATGTGGAGCAGTGTTGCCAACTGCTTTCAATTGAAAGTAGCTAAAACTGGTAGCTAAATGTCACTAGATGACATCACAATGGCAAATTCACTGATCTATATAAAGATGAACGTAGATCAGTGGGCAAGATGAGAACTTAGATAAGGTTTGTCCAAGAAGTTGCTATATTTGTCCCTAAACAAAAGTCTCAAAAGGGGCGGGGAAGTCGCTAAATCTAGCTACAAAGTAGCTAAATTGGCAACACTGCAAATGCCTCATTTGTAATGGGTTTTCATGTTTTTGT